GCATGGAACATGAGATTTACTGTAAATGGAGCATGAAATTGAGATAAAATAAAATGCACTGCAGACTCATTTTTAACCTGGTTTTTCAGCGTCAATCACTGAGATTTAACATCTTTAGTGAGAAATACCCTGGAATGAATTTTTCTAATAACACAAAGTTCTAATTTAGTAAGGAATTAGTCCAAGAAATTACTTTTTAACTAGGCAAACAAATGGTTTTGGAGCCCTCTCCTTTGTGTCCAGCACTTGGCTCGCATACACTTTGCTGGAAGTACGTGTTTTTTCCACTTGTCATCAGTGAACTTCTCATTCATTCAGATTTATGTAAACACTGTCTCTTTGGCTACATCCATTCGCCCTCTTCTTCCCTGATCAATTTGGAGAAAATCTTAACATTTTAGAAAAGAAAACCAAGCGTATTAAGAACTATTAGCACCAGAGCATCAGAGCATGCTAGAAACAGTGTACCTCAACACCATACCTATTCAAAGTGCTTAAAGAAGGAATGTCAGGGATGAGGGTCCACAGCCTTTTATAAAATTCATTATGTGACAAGTTTACATATCAAAATGGAGATTTTTAATCATACCCCGAAAGTTATACATTTGGAACTCTACTCTGTATACGAGAAGTATTTTTAATATTGTTAAAAATATAACCATTCTTGGAGAAAGGATACCAGAACTAATTCTAAGACTGAGGGAAATTCCATAGACCTTTCCACAGCCAATATGCAATTTTAAATGAAAGAGACTTCCATCATATAGATATACCACAGTTTCCTTATTCACTCATCTGATGATGGACATTTGGGCTGGTTCCAACTCTTGGCTATTGCAAATAGTGCTGCAATAAACATTGGAGAACAAGTATTCTACTCTGCTATAAAAAGAATGAAATACTGCCATTTGCAACAACATGGATGGACTTAGAGAAAATTATATTAAGTGAAACAAGCCAGGCACAGAAAGAGAAATACCACATTTTCTCACTTATTTGTGGGAGCTAAAAATAAATAAGTAAATAAACACAAAAACAAATAAAGTGGGGGGGAAGAAGATAGAATAACGACAAAAATTCCTTGAACTTGTTAAGACAAGTGAACAGATATGATGGGGGGGGGAAGAGGTAGGGGGAAAGATGAACAAGTAAAGGGTCACGAAAATCAACTACAATGTATACTGAGAAGTTAAAATAAAAAAATAAATAAAAATAAGTAAATGAGAGAGACTGAGTGTCTTCAATTGTATTCCCAGAGAACAGACTCTGTGAGGGAGAGTTGCAGGCAGATAATTTGTTAGGGAGTGTTCTCCAGGGATACGTGCATATATATGTGTAAGGAGGTGGGAAAGGAAAGATTGGCCTAAGAGAGAAGTCATCCCCAAATGTGTTGCAACTGAGGCCTCAGAACATCCTGCAGAAAACCTTAAAGTTCGGATAGTCTGTCAGGTTTGATGCAAATTGACAGCCAGTTGTTGGGACACTTACTGCGGAAGGGTATAACCTTGGAAAATTAATTCCTTGACCAAGGGTAATTCCCAGTGTGCATGGTCAGCAGCCAATATTCACTACAGTCAGTGTACAGTGGAGAAAAGCATTCTGGCATCCATCACACCAAGTTACTATATTTTCTATTGTCAACTGAGAAATATGCTCTTGCTTTTTGTTTGCAGTCATTAAATGTCACTCTCTTCTATATTGTTAGTTTCTGATGACCCTGTAGGTAGTGTCAGGAGACAAGTTTCCATGAATATATTCATATTTCGGTACTCTCAGGGTTTTCTGAGCAAAGAGCACCAGCACCTGGATTAAAGAGTGAATGAATATTAACCCTAAAAAAAAAAGGCTTCTAGAGAGATACAGAGACTTATACTCCTTGAGCCACGTGTTTATATTCTGGGGTGGTAAAGTAGAGATCATTCTCTCCTCTCAGCAAAAGATCCGAATCTGTTTAAAATGCAGAGCAAAGGCCTCTCTCTCTCTCCTCTCTCTCTCCCCATCCTGTCTCCCCTCTCCCTCCTCCCATCTTTCCTCTCCCCTCTTTTCTTTCTCCTTCTCTTTCTCTGCCTTTCTCTCTCACCCTGGAGGAGAGAAGGAACAGATGTTCCAGCAGCTCCTGTATAAGCTCTGGCTTCATATTTTGAGATTCTTCTCCTATGTCACAAATCTCATGCATATGTAGTGGACAGTAGGAAATTGGGGCACGGGGAACTGATGTAAGCAGCTCTATGAGTAAGTAAATGGCCTGATCCTTAATTGAGAGTGCTCGTGTTTGCGCACATGTGTGTGTGTGTTTATATTACTGTGGTAGGCAAACCAATGGAAAATCAAGCTTATTAAGGACCTGCTTTCACCAAATGTCAGCAGCAGAGCATGCTAGAAACTGCCGCACCTCAATACCATAGTTACTCTGAATGCTGTTAGCTTGCAAGAATTGCAACATCTCAGATCTTTCACAGTTTCAGACTTAACCAGTAGAGCTGTCTAAATTGAGGGTATGGATCTAATTACAAAACTAGACACTCTTAACAATAACATATTTATCTAAAGAATAGTTGATGTACCCATAACTCTGTTCCTAATGTATGAGAAAAAAAATAAATTCCTAATAGTGTGCCGTATATGCACAGATAACTATATACACTAGAGTGCAAATTAGGAAGCATTATGTGCCACCAAAAAGAAAGAAAAACATAAATTGCTTAGACCATTCAAAAGAGAGAGAGAGAGCCCCAGCTGGGGAGACTAAGAAAGGCATCAGGGAGGTAGGCGCATCTCGGCTGAGCCTTGAGAGGTGGTAGAAGCAAAGATCAGAACAGGGTATCCTTAGATTTATGGTTCTTTTCTTTTTTTTTTTTTTTTTTTGTCTTTTGTCTTTTTTCCGTGTCCAGCAACGGATCGCAACCCTCAGTGTTGCCCCCGTACCGGACCGGGGACCGGCAACGGGATCGCAAGCCTCGGTGTTGCTCCCGCGCCTCGCTCAGCCAGTGAGCGGGAGCCGGTCTGTATGTGGGATCCGAACCCTCGGACGGGAGCGCCGCCACGCTTCCCAAGCGGCGCACTATCCAGTGCGCCACCGGGCCGGCCCTAGTTCTTAATAAATTAGATAATTTACTAAAAGGAATGATAATTCACACTTATTGGATACTTATATTCTGGGCACTAATCTGCACACATTGAAAACTTTTTATTTTCCAATTGACTTCTTCCAAAAACTCATGTGAGGTAGAAATTATATTTTTTTAGAGTGCTTTATGAACTTATCAAAATTGAACAGGTGACAGGTAGTAGAACTGGTATTTGTAGCTGTTGGACAGCAGAGACAGTGCTCAAAACACTGTTTTCCAGTACTTGGTCAGAGGAAGCAACTAGGCAAAGGCCAAGAGACAAGAAATCGCTGGCATGTTTGAGGAACAACAGATATTTCTGATTGCTAAGCAGTGACAAGGGTAGAGGCAGATAAAGCTAGATAGATAGGGAAGTCCAGGAAAGACAGAGTTTCATTTCTGGAAGTTTCTAAAGGTTCTTTGGTAAGAGTGACCAATGGCATGCTTTAGGAACATTGATCTGGCAGCTAGTAATGAAGGTTTTGAAAGTGGAGGAATAGTTGGGGTCCAACTATTAGAAGGCTGATGCAACACAGTTCAAGCAAGGAGCATTGCAAGGCCCACAGGCCTCAAAACTCAAGGTCTAATGCTGCAAACTTCGATAAATCATTCTACCTCACTGAGCTTCTGTATCTTCCCCTGCAGAAAATCCACGAGGTTCCTTCCAAATCTAAAATTCCAGCAATTTAAAAGAACCTAAATTAAGATGATTTCATGAGCGCAAAGGCAGGAATGAGCAAATACGTGAGAAATACTTTAGAGATGGAAACTAAAAGACCAAAGTAACTCATGGAACATAAAGGGCAAAAAGGGAGAAATCAGAAGACTGCAAGATTTTAAGCCCAGACACTCAGAAAGTTCAGTGAAAATACGAAATACAGGAAGAGGGTGGGAGGGCAATTAGAATTTGTTTTAGATACAGTGATTATGAGATGTTAATAAGACAGATTAGAGACTTTTAGAAGACCAGCTGAAAGGGAGCCCTAGAATCCCAAAGAGGAGTCCTGGCTCAGGTCCATATTCGGAAGCTATTTTCATAGACAGGAGAGTAGATGAGATTGCTCAGGAATAGACTGTGGAAGAGAGTAGATGAGATTGCTCAGGAATAGACTGTGGAAAGGAAGGCAGTGAATCAATCAGATTGGCTATAGTCACACTTAAAGGAGAAACAGAGGATCAGGTTCCAGGCAAGAACTGGCCAGAGAAGCAAAAATTCACAGAAGGTTAGAGCAGAGAGCCTTCGAGGAGAAAGGCCTGTCAGTCCAAGTGTTAAATGTTCAGAAGAGCTACTTGATCTAAAAAGGCTCTAATCCAGAAAAGTGGTGCTGATACAGATCAGGGGTTTCAGAGGGAGGGAACAGGGTAAAAGGTAAGTACAAGTGCAAAATACATTCAGAGAAAGAAACATTTGTAGGCAAAATGATTTGGTAAAGCCAAATCCGGAGTGGGTATTTTTCTCCCAGCATGTTCCACAGATCACATGCATAAGAATCACCAGAGGCAATTGATTGAAAAACAGATTTCTGGGCCTCCCTCCAGAACCACTGAATTATAATCTCTGGGGAGAATGCTTTGTGCATCTTCATTTTAAACAATGTCATAGCTGGGTAATTCTTATGTATGCAGGTCAAGATGCTTCAACTTATTTTTTCAATGAATGGAGCGAGTCAGTAGAAAGAGATCATTAAAGAGATGGGAAAGTTGATGAGGAGTAATTCTGAACAGGCAAAATGGGACCGAGGGCACCAGCAGAAGGATCAGACTAGAGAAAGACTCAACCTGTGTGCAAAGACATCCTGCTCATCCAGGCTCAGCAGAACGGCCAGCGTGGTCTCCATGAAAAGTCCCCTTTTGTGGTTTCCCCTCTTGGTAATAACATTTTGCTGTCTACAGTGACAGCCTTGATGACAAAGATATACCAGAGGCTGAAGTCCCCATGGAAGCCAGGGCTCCAGATGAGTTTCCCAGCCCTCCCAGCAGCAGCGAAGAGAGCACAGGCAGCTGGTCCCAGCTTGCCCACGAGGAGGACCACCCGGATGATGCAAGTAGCTTTCTGCAGCTCAGTGGGCGATCCATGAGGTACCTGCTCTTTTCTTGGCTTCCCAGGGAAACTGGTCTCAACACAGATTTCAAAATGCATTTTAATGGTTCTCAGCAAAGGGTCTCTCAGAGAGAGAGAGAGAAAGCAAAAAGGAAAGTTCCAGTAGGTCAAGGTACTTGCCTGTCATGATTTGTGCTGAGGTATCTCAATATCCAGTTATGGCTTAAATGACCTTGGTCAAGGTTAGCTGTGCTCCCTTCCCTGCAAGCCCCAGCTAGTGCATTCAGTGATGACAACTGTGAAATTTTCAGTGAGAACCACTACCATACCTGGTGTGTTTCATATTTCTTTTTGGTTCATTTGTATTTCAGATACAGCACAGGCTAGGTTTACTCGAGGCAAGTGCTTCCCCACTGTGTTGTGTTGTTCGGTTCCCCTACTTTATCTCCCAGGTCTTTTGTATCGTTCCCCTGAGAAAGCCAGAGAGGAGCTTAGGAGAGATCAGATTTGGAAGAAATCGAGCCAATCAGGAGACGTAAACTAAAAACTATTCTTCTATGAGATGGAGCCTCTAAAAGAATCTCTGTGTTTCTTCCCAAAGTCTTATTTGATACTGGACTTATCAAATCCACAGATTTTCCAAAAAGGTCAATTAGAAAATAGTATTCAAAAGCATCTGGGTATGTGTATAGCTCTAAGAAAGTTTTATTTTCAGCAGTTCAGTCTGTTTGGAGTTAGGAACATTTCACAATGTTAAACAATTGGTGACAAATTCCAAAAACCAGTGGGAAATGTTACAGGATAGAGGCAAAAAGCAGAGAGAACTTGGATCTTTGGACTTAACAGTGGAAATTTATGGGGTTAATTACCTCCAGTGTGTTTCTGAGTCATCAGGTTTCAATCTGTGACTATATCCAGTGCCCCACCTGAAACCTAAGACAGGAATTTAAAATTGAGGGAGTCCAGTTGGTTACTCACAGTATTCTCATGGGAAGTCCTGTTACATGACACACAAACACTCACCCTTTGACGTCCTTGCTTGGAAGAGACATCACTGGGAAACAGAGAATGTATGAGGAGGCTCAGTGAGTTTGATAAATTGGATACATTTCATGTCACAAGTACAGACAGAACCAAAAAATTGGCTCAACTCTGCTGTGTTTCAGTGAGTAAGTTCCAGGCTAGTAACTAGACCATATGTTGATTATGCTTCCTATGGAAATGATGCAATATGGGATCCTTCTTCTCTATGATATATGAGGTATCAGGTGCTGCTGCTTCTGAAAGATCATAAGACAAAGGAGCAACAAAACTCTGACATTGCCCAACTTTGTACTTGTAAATTCTATAGTACCATAGGAATACAACAAGCTGGGCGCACATCCTATGAAAACCTATGGGATGTCCCTGAGAAAAAAATCCCCTAAATGGCAGAGAGAGAACATGAGTCCACTGGTTTCTATCAAAATCCAAGGAGCAGGCCGATAAGCATTCCAGTACCTCCCCCAGCCAGCATTTTCAGAAGTATCTTCATCTCTGCGGGCCCATCCAGCAGCAGGAAGTCTCCTGCTGATAAATAAATATTCTCACTGTAGCTAGAATAAGAAAGAAAAGAGCCATGCTGATTGTTACCCACTTGGTGTGATCCACCATGTGTGACCTGACTTCAAAAATTAGAAATTATGATTATTTGCTTGACCTTGTTAAGCTTATGTCTTGTGTTTTCCCCTAATTTGGTAAGAAATAAATATCAATTTAGGAGTCCTAGAGAAAAAGCAATATTCTTCTGGGGACCAAAGAAAGGATCGCTTACAACAATAGGACATCGTGTTGGCAGTGTGGCCAGGTGGGACGGGCATTAATATGTAAACTTTTGCTTTGTCAGCAATGGCAACAATAGTGCCCCTAGCAGTCTTGGCATTATGGACCTGGACACTTATCAGGAAAGCATGCCATCTTCTCCCATGATTAAGTAAGTAGCCTCTGAGACACAGTGATTGTGAGACCACTACTCCAATTCCATCTGGCAACCCATTTTGACCATTCAGGCTGTGCCCAGCCACTGATTTCATCATGTCTGTACTGCCGTGGTTCTGTGTCACTGGAGCAAGAATTCAGGCTTAGAGTAGGGGTCCACCCTACCACCACCTTCTGGGTTTCAGGTCTGCCCCTGTGGAATAATCATTACAGGTAAAGCCTATCAATATAATCAGAAGTGGATGTGATTTTACCTATTTGGATACATGCAAGCAAAAATCCATTTAAATTTTACCATGACAACCAAGGAAGTCCATTCAATAGTCTTCACTAGATGGGCCGGCCCGTGGCTCACTCGGGAGAGTGTGGTGCTGATAACACCAAGGCCCCGGGTTCGGATCCCATATA